ATGGGACTCCTTTGTCCAACATCCCAGATCGTGATGCTTAGTTCACATCAAACTTTTGGAAATCCTTTCAGAAGGGGTTGGGCACAAGGGTGAACCTCAGCTTCGCTTTTCATCCTCAAACAGATGGCCAGGCGGAACGCACCATTCAAACTCTTGAGGATATGTTGAGGGTGTGTGTTATCGATTTTAAAGGTAATTGGGATGATCATCTACCCCTCACTGAGTTTGCTTATAATAACAGATATCAATCTAGTATAAAGATGGCATAGTGCGAAGCTCTGTATGGGCGAATGTGTAGGTCACCAATTAGTTGGTTCAAAGTTGGTGAAGCGGAGTTGTTAGGACCCAATTTGATCTATCAGGCGATGGACAAGGTCAAGTTAATTCAAGAGCATTTGAAGATGGCTCAGAGTCGCCAAAAGTCCTATTCGGACGTGCGACGTAGAGACCTAGAGTTTCAAGTGGATGATTGGGTGTTTTTGAAAGTTTTGTCTATGAAAGGAGTTATGAGATTTGGGAAGAAGGGGAAGCTTTGTCCCCGCTATATTGGGCCATATAGAATCCTGCGAAGGATCGGGCAAGTGGCTTATGAGTTAGAATTGCCACAAGAATTTTTTGTTGTACACCCAGTGTTTCACGTTTCTATGTTAAAGAAATTCATGGGAGACCCTTCTCTTGTGGTTCCTATGGAGACTATAGGGGTTAAAGACATCATGACTTATGTAGAAATTCCAGTGGCTATCCTTGATCGTAAAATTCGCAAGCTCAGAACTAAGAAAATTGCTTCAGTGAAAGTGCTTTGGAGAAATCAAAAGGTTGAAGAGGCAACGTGGGAAGCTGAAGGAGACATGAAGTCCATATATCCCCATCTTTTTGAAGAGCAAGCAGAGAATCTAGACGGTAACTAACCTTCTCCCTCAGACCTTATATAACAATCTTCATGTCTTTCAATATTTAGTCAGTTTAGTAGCCATTCAGTCTAGCACCTATCCAGTTCAGTATCTCATCAGCTTCAGTAATCTTGTATTCATTTAGTTTAGTATGAAAGTGTTAATTAATATTCATGTTCCAACTAGACCCATTTAAGGTCTGGAGATAGCCGAAGATACAACAAGGACAATCATTCGAGGACAAATGATCCCAAGGGGGAGATAATGTAACACCCCGTAAATTTGAATCGGTTGTGGATCCATTAAATGAGTATTAACGTGATGGTAATTAATTTGTGATGATAATAAGTGTACGAGGTATATCATAAGGGATTTAGGGCCCAAGGAGAGACCTAAGTCTTATCCAAGTCGGAAATTACATGATAGACTAAAATTCCAAATGAGTGCGCACAAGACCATAATTTCGACGAGCATATCTACAGATATATAATGTGTAAGATGATGCACAATATATCCAATGAAATTTCTTTGAGTCTAGTTTCTAGCTCTTCAAACCGTACATCATTTGGACTTTCCTACAAGAAGTTATGACCAAATTACCAAAGGCTGACAAAGGACTGTGCGGATACGAAAAATCCGAGGCCGCGTCCGAACAGAGGGGCTGGCATGAAGTGATCCCATAGCATCCGCATATCATCCGAGCTCCTGAGTAGAGGACTTCTCGAATGCGAAGCATCCACGTCTGCATCCGAAATCTGGGATTATAAACACAATTTCAGGATTATTTTCCCTATTCTATTTGGACAACCCTTGGGGTTCTTCTTCACCCACTCAAGAGCACCAACTCCTACCCTCTTCAAAGTAAGCAATCCCCATTATCTTGGTATGAAATTCCATTATTTCTACACTAGTATTGATGAAATCTACACATAACATAGATAGATCTTCAAGAAATTTCTTCAAGAACTCAAAGGAGGTTTTTGTAAGATTTCTTCCAAAAAAGTAATTCTACACCCTTAGACTTACATGTATGGTTTTATTAAGGGAATATGAGTATGAATAAGTAATAGAAATATTGGTATGGTGATTGGAATTCATTAAATTCCCAATTTAATTACATAACTATGGTAGAGATAGAACAAGTGATTATTTAATAGAACTTTGTTGGTTGGGTGTGGATGGATGGTCACATATGTGATGTTGGAAGTTATAAATTGGTTAATCATGATGGTGGGATAAATTGTTGATTACTGGTGGTAGTTGGATGTACTAAATATATGGTAATGGGATATAGAGATTTATGCCTACAAGGTGTTTGATAATATGCCTAAATGGCTTAAGTTATGGAATTTGTTACTAATATTGGTTCCATTAGATGTTGTTATTGTAGATTGAAGGTTCTTAGTATTGTGGATCATTATAGTATCACTAAGGGGCAAAACTAAGGTATGTGAGGCTAACTCTTTAGGTTTGGGAATGTCTATGATTCTCCCTACGTCCCATTCATTATGACTATTACTAGTTTTTTCGGAAAGTAATTATGCCTAGCTACATGAATAATAGCAGAACTTCTATTCTCTAGATGGCACATTGTCATAATCATTCGATATTCTATGAGTTTCAATTATGACAAATCAACTTATTATGAATATACATCTCAATCTAGCCCTATTCATTATTCTAGTATCATGTATTTCAGTTTGATGTATTGTAGTATGATTTATGAGTTCCTGATTCTAAGTTCCTGAATGTTGAACGCCTATATTTGGGCCTAAGGTCGCAGTTATGTATACGTATACTTGGGACCGAGGTTGCACACACACACATACACNTTCAGAAGAGGGAGTATTCATAACCTTACTTCCTATGTTTAGTTCAGTTATCAGTTATCAGTTTTAGTTACAGTATTTACAGTTCTTTCCTGTAGTTGTTTTACATACCAGTGCAGCTCAAATACAATGACGTCCTTTTTTCCCGGGGCCTGCATCTCGCAATGCAAGTAACGATTTTTCAGGTTGATGATTCTTCTTGCTAGGACATCTCGTATCTGCTATTGGTGAGCCCCAGTCTTTCGGGGCACTATCCCTCCCTTTTTCAGTCATTATAGTATTTCAGTTAGTAAGGTATACCTGGGACCTTGTCCCGGTAAACAGTTAGCATTTCAGTATTCTTTAGAGGCTTCGTAGACCACAACCCAGTCAGTCAGATATTAGCAGGCTTTTATGTGTTAGCCTTGTCGGCTACTTGTTTATACTTGTAGGCCTTTCAATATTTTCCACATCTATGATATTTCAGTCAGACTATTTAGTAGATCATCATGTTATATATTTACATCTAGCTTACAGTTATACCATATGTTGATCCAACCATACAGTTGGTTTGCTTGGTCACATGCAGTCAGGCACCGAGTGTCGTGTTACGCTCAGGCCATAGTTCAGAGCGTGACAAGATATTTCGAGTGATGCGTGCTACAGATACTAAGGCAGCAGAGCTTGCCGCGTACCAGCTGAAGAATTTTTCCAACACTTGGTATGAAATATGGGAAGAGTCCCGAGGGGAGGATTCAGCTTCTGCAACTTGGAAGGAGTTTACAAATATGTTTCTTGAGCATTTTCTACCCATTGAGGTCTTGGAAGCTAAGACTTTGGAGTTTGAGAGACTTAAACAGAATGATATGAGTGTGAATGAGTACTACCTCAAGTTCGTCTCTCTGGCTAAGTATGCTCCAGAAATGGTACGTGATATGAGGGCCAGAGTTAGGCGGTTTATTTTAGGGCTTTCAGATGACTTGTTTGATAATGCTAATATAGCTGCTTAGAATAATGACATGACCATCACTAAGATGGTTGCCTTTGTTCAAGGGAACGAAGAAAGGTTGAAGGAAGAAGAGCGGCTACAGAGAGAAAAGGACAGGGAATTCAGCAAGAGAGCTAAGTTTGCAGGAAATTTCAACCATGGGAGATCTCAAGTAGGAGGCAATCGCCAGTTTTTCTAGAAATCAAAATCAGGACTTGCTCCATCTTCAGCTAGTGCACCAGTTCAGAGGTCAAAGTTCAACAAGAAAAATCAGAATTTCAAAATAGTAGGCTCACAATCACATGCTAATGTGGGCTACAGAGTCTCTGGTTTCCCTATTTGCAACACGTGTGGAGGCACCCAGGGTTGTGTCGTTCGGGCACAAATGGTTGCTTTGGGTGTGGTCAGCAGGGCCACTTCTTGAGGGATTATCCATCAGCAAAGCAGAACAATGGAGGCAATGTAGCTCAGTCCACCAATTCAATAGCCCCTCATAACTCTCAGGCCCAACAAGGGCACGGTGCAACAAAGTCTAGTAATGCAAGCGGTGGTCGAAACCGCTTGTATGCCCTGGCAGTTATGAGTTATCAGTTATCATTTTCAGTTACGATATTTACAATTCTTTCCTTCAATTGTTTTACATACCAATGCAATTCAAATGCATTAACGTCCCTTTTTGCCCGAGGCCTGCATCTCGCGAGGCAGGTAACAATTTTCAGGTTGACGATTTTGCTTGCTAGGACATCTCGTATCATCTATTAGTGAGCCCCAGTCTTTCGGGGCACTATCCCTCTCTTTTTCAGTCATTATAGTATTTCATTTAATAAGGTATACCGGGGACCTTGTCCCGGCAAACAGTTAGCATTTTTAGTATTCTTTAGAGGCTTCGTAGACCATAACCCAGTCAGTCAGATATTAGCAGGCTTTTATGTGTTAGCCTTGCCGGCTACTCGTTTATACTTGCAGACCTTTCAGTATTTTCCGTATTTATGATATTTCAGTCAGACTCTTTAGTAGATCATCATATTATATATTTACATCTAACTTACAGTTATACCACATGTTTATCCAGCCATACAGTTGGTTCGCTCGGTCATATGCAGTCAGGCATCGAGTGTCGCGTTATGCCCAGGCCATGGTTCGGGGCGTGACAAATCTTGGTATCAGAGCCTAGATTCAGGAGTCCTAGGGGGTCTACGAAGCCGTGTCTAGTGGGGTCACTTTTATGTGTGTGTGCTTGCCACGACACAATATTTTTGATAAGTTGTTCTTCTTTCCTTCTTGTAAAGTACTTTTCTTTGACTTGGGAACCAAGAGAAATCTGCGAATTCATGTTTTCTTCCTTGGGTGACGACCTCCCAAGTTTGAATCACTCTTTTCTACAAATGTGATATTGCGTTTGAACATTGGTTGTAACTTGAAAGTAACCTACATATATAAAACAGAGAAGCTCGTTCAGTATCGTATGCAGAATTTTTAGTAAACAGTATCAATATTTGAAGAAATGAACGAATGAATAAATCACTATAGTAGCGAACAGTGTTCTTTCTTTATTTTGTATACTATCTATATATACATATTTAATAAAAAATTTGACGAAACAGTATTACGTCCGCTTGCCCCAAGGTGTATCCGTCCCGAGCTTGTTAACGTCAAAAGAATGTAGGAGGGTCCATAGTTCCCTCCCTTCCCTCATACTCTTTCTGTCTGTTTTGGGGTTTGAAAAATTAACTCATATTTTTATCTTTTATCTCGTATATCTCATTTTATGTACAAATAACCAAGCGTCCGATACAAATAATCTTTGTATCACAATACCTATATTACTAATTCATATCAGGGGCGGCTCAAGCTCATATGTGGCCTAAAACTAAAGTTTGATATGAGACCTAATTTTTTTTTAAAGATTCTAATATATATTTTTGTTTAAAGTCTATTCTTCTAACCTTTTGAGATGCAAAGTTGTTAATTATTATTTTGTAATCGATCTCTTCCAAAAAATCCTTTTCAATTGATATTATAGCTAATCTTGAGACATTGGTTATCTTAACTAGGATTTGTCAATTTTAATTTTGAAAAACTTGTTTCCGCTGAGAAAATTATTATAGGAACTGATAACCCTATTTTTTAAGCAATATAAACATTTGAAAAAAATCAAGCCTTTTTATTTGGTTGAGTATATAATATCTTCTATTTATACTATTTTTTTTTCAAATCAATTTCAATTCACACTTTACAAGTTTTTTTAAATAATCAAACGGTTACTTTATTTACATATTTAAAAAAAAATCGTTCCTTTTATACGATACAGTCTATTTTTATACTAAAAATCTAAATTTATTTTATTTAAATAATTGTATACCTATTATTTCTAAAAAATAATTGAACTCCGAATTTGGAGTCTAAGACACAAGCCTTATTAGCTAAAGCATTAGAGTCGGCCTTGATTCATATACAAATGATTTTCGTGTTAAAATCTCTACCTAACTTGTTTCTAAACGAAACGACCCCTAACAGCTCTATTAGTTGGTGTGCAATGGGTTGTTAAGACTTATACGTCCATTACATTAATGTTAAAAATAGTGGTCAACTGATTGTAAATTTCCAACTAATTATTGAAGCTAACATATGAATTACAATATTTCAATGTTTTAATATTAAAATTTAAATATTTAAAAACTATACAAAAAGTATTAAAGTATGAATTACAATTGCTTTATCAATATGGTGAAAAATACATATTAAAATATTAAGTACTCAAAATTTATATAATTTAACTCTCGAAAAACAAAACTTAATATTATAACTAAATGAGAACGGAGAGAGTAACAATACTAATTTTCTAAAACCGTGTGAAGAAGGGTGCAGACATGTAATATAATATATGTTCTAAAACCGTGTTAAGAAAGGTATATATATATATATCAACATGAAGGGATGTAATTACCAAAGTCAATAAGAAAGGATTAAAGTTCTTAGTAAATTAATGTTATACTTATCTATCCTTAATTGTGTAACAACAAAGAGAGCAAAGCTACTCTCCATGTCATTTGATATTGCATGGGGTTTTATATAGGCAGGGCCGGCTCTAATGTACATCCAAGTAAGGCTTTTGTGTTAGGCCCTAAATTTTGGGGAGCCATTTTTTTTAAAATAATAGATTTATAGGTATTTAAAAAAAATATTTAGCACTTTTCGTATAAAAATAAAGTTTTTCTGTTGCAGTTGCCTCAAAGAAAAGAAGTTTTCAAGATTAGAATTTACAAATCTTACCTAAGATTAACAATGTCTCAAGATAGATTAAATTTGTTGGCTATATTATCAATTGAAAGGGAATTATTAGAGGAAATCGATTATAAAAAAATTATTAACAAGTTTTTTTTTTAGGCCTCATATTAAACTTTGGCTTTAGGTCCCTTTTTCACGTATACTCTATCACAATTCACAAATGATACAAAAATGTACAAAAGTTAGTTCCACTACCTGGCGACCACTATATTTTACTATGAGATTTTACGTAACTCCTGATAATTTCAGAACATGTTGCATATTATACAGATAATTAAGAAGGAAAATAAGGTGATTTATATACCTGTGAAATGACTCCAAGAACTCCAAGTGACAATTTAGCTGCATAGAACTCAGGATTAGCAGTGTCAAGGGTCCGGACTTTTGCATAGCCTTCTTCTTCTGTAGCTGGTGTGACGATCCGAAGCTCAACTACATAGTTATTCACTGCACTTCCCAGGCCCCAAAGAGAGCTGCCATGTACACCGGTACCTAGCAAACCACCAACACTCATTCCCCACCAATAAGGTGAATGAGGCAGCGCCAGATCAACCCGTGCTGCCTCATCGATCAAATCCCTTAGTATTAGTCCCACTATCCACCCTCATCTTCATGTTTTGTCGATCCTTTATCTGTACCTGTTGAGACATAATATAATTAAAATAATTTAAAAGGGTGCAATTTTTAATAGTTTAAGCTTTTTAGAGTACGACAGTATGTAGTACCTTATTAAGGAGTTTTGTACTGATAATGAGGCCATCATCCTCGCCAGGACAAACCAACTTAGGAATACTCGCTACTCTCACTTTCCTTTTCTCCTTAGTTGCTTTTCCCACTGCTGATATGAGCTCTTCTTCTCTGGTAGGATACGTGACTTCAGCTGCACGACAAATGCTCCGATCCGGAAATGAGCCATAGATATTTGTGATGGTGCAGTTTGAATTTTTGGTTATACACTTGATGGGATCTTGAGGAAGGGTATATTCAACCAAGTAAATCATGATCAAGAAAATGCAGTTTGATGTCAAAATTTGGCGTATAACGCCGTTTTGAAAGCGTACGTTTTTCATGGTTAATTGGTGATTTTCGTTCTTGTTCCTTTCTTTCTACGGGAGCCAATTCCAATATATAGACAAGTCACAAGTAGTACTACGGATAATAGACTGGGTTTCATATATTGACCAGTGGATACATGGGCGGATGTGTCACGTGGGTTTCTTAAATTGTATGAACATAGTAAACGTACGGGTCGAGTCGGATATGAGCGGGTCAAAAACAGGAAATACAAAACGGATAAATTGTCCGACCATACCTATATTTAATACGGATAAAAAAGGGTGATGACCGGCGGATAATATGGATATCCACATTATTCATGGCTTCTTGAATATGATAACTTTTGGGAGAATCTCTAGTATCCCAAACTTGAAAAACCCCAAATTTGATGCTTTATAATATAAAGGTTAAACCCATTAGTTATCCATTTTCTAAGTGAATAATATTATTTTTATCCGTTTTAAAAAATTCATTATCCAATCCATTTTAATGGATAATATGAGTGAAAAATTATAACTACTATTTTTTTAACTATTTTACCACCATTACTTGTAAGCTCCTATTTTTTAATAGGATGTAAGGAACTATTAATTCTTGAGCCTCAAAGAGAGCTTATATGTGTACATCGATTCATCAGTGGTGTAATTAGTTTCTTTTGCTGGAGGCCTAAGAATTTAGAACAACCTTCCTAAAAGGGAGTTATGATTCTAGGTGCTCTTTAGGTGTAATACTTTGCTTATTAATAGTAATAGTTCACAGTTTTTTTACTAAAATAACAATAATAATCGCTAGACACCTTATCTGACGGTATATTCGTTGGAAAAAAAAACTAGAGCGACCATTTTGTGTGGATTTCAAGAAAAATTGAAGCATCAATGGCTTTGTTGTGCAGCTAAAGTTACCAAATCAATCTCTTTATCACATCAACAAACTAAGCATGTATAAACTATAGAACAAGTAAAAGCAAAAAAAAAAAAAATGAAAAATATATACAAAAATCATATTGGCTTGGGTCATCCAACTACTCTTTTTAAATACTGCCCTAACCTGTTGTTCACGGGGTCCTAATAACCCCCCTGCATTATTAGGTGATGGGGGAAGGGGTGGAGGCTTATGGTGATGGTGGAAGGGGTGTCGGCTATGGTAAAAGACTAAAACTATTTTCTGAGGAACTGAAAATGCGGCGAGCCTATTGAAAGAGAAGAGAAAAGAGGAGAAGAAAAAGAAAAAAAGAAAAGAAAAAAGAAGAGAAGAATTAGTAAGTTTTAACAATTCGTTTTGCTTCTCGACAGTTGAATATATTTTCTTTGCCACATCAATATTTAAGGGACTAGTCTCTCGGCACGTGCGTTGCACGTGTATGCTTAAAAGTAAGGATGTGCAAACCGAATCGAAAAATCGCACCAAACCGAAAAGTCAAACCAAACCGATTAAAAAACCTGACTTGGTTTGGTATTGAGTAAAAAACCCGAACCAACCGACATATAAATATATAATTTTTATACTATATTTTTTAAAGATTTTGTACAAAATTTTCTTTAAAAAATGTCTAGAAATGTTTGGGATTCTCTTGTGGGATATAAATTTTAATAGAATATGAAGTGCTCCATATTTATTGACCTTAAATAATGAGTTATATGATGACTTTCTTATGAAGTATTACTGGAATACGTCTATCTCTTTGTTCTTTCGTATTCATATCATGTTAAGATCTATTAAATTCTTATATCTTTTTCGAATGTGAAGTGGTTATTACTAATATTTAGGTATCATATTGATTTTTATGTTTAATTACTAAATTCGGTTAACCTGAAAGTGTATATCAACGAAATATTATTGTCAAACGACTAAAAAAATAAATAACAAAAAACCTGAAAACCTGACAAAACCAAACCAATCCAAACGGATATAGTTGGTTTGGTTTGGTTTTGATAAAAACCGAACCAACCCGATCCATGCACACACCTACTTAAAAGAGTACAAAATAAAATCTAAAAGTTCGTTCCAATAAAATAACAAACTTTGCAGAAAGACAATTAACTTAAGTCAAATGATTAACCTAAGCGAAACAGTAAATTTATTATCGAGTAATATTTCCCCATATAAAGAATAATGAGAAAAGGAGCCGATTTTTTTGAAAGAAAAAGTGCCAAATATCTCATCACGACAAAATGAACCATCGACCATGTACTCTCACTACATAATAAATATTCTTATCAAACGTAACTTTTTTGTCTACTCAATTGTGTTGTTTTACTTTGATTGTGCTTTTCTTTACCAAAATGTACAATTTATTTTGGTACACTGCACTATCTATTATTTTTCAACTTAAACATGTATATGCTAATACCAACACTAAACACAACGTTGTGCGGTAAAAAAAATAAAATCGGATCGTCTCTGTACAATTACCAAAAACGACTTTGCAGTTGAAGTTGTCAAACTCAAGTCCAAAATCATTGCAGCATAAGCACTCAACAAAATTATACATTTATACCTTGTTTCTGACCATCAACTTTATTAATAGAAGAATAAACCCAAAAATCCGTTCACCAAGTCATTTAAACTAAAATTAGTCGGTGAAGGTATAATATATACATAATTATGTATAATCAATATATAATTTATGTATATTGCTAGAAAAAATAAACGATGAATATAACCAACTATTTGTATAAAAATCCCTTATTAATATTGTGACGTAGACAAAGATATAACATAGTCTAGAAAGGGCAATCTAGTAATTTCATATTAGTTGGTTAGTTTGTTACTAACAACCATTCCTAATGTTAGTTAGTTAGTTAGTAGCTTCTATTTAATTGTTGACAATTAATTGGTAAGCTACATGTATATATTGATATACACCACTATGTAATTCATTCAGATAATAAGTATCACTTCTTTCTCTCTTAGTTTCTATCGACCTTCCTATCTGTTTCTTCTTCTTTCATCTTCTTCTTCATTCATCCAAATTGGGTTCAACCCAGATATTAGTTCATGGTATCAGAGCAGGATCAGCTAATTCAGTAGATGAAACCTCGATTCAACTTCTTGATTCAAAAAATCGAAATAGTTCTAAAATCTGCTTCTTCGTCATTTCAATCCTTGAAAATTCTTGATCGCTAGGGCTGGAAATGAACAACAAACTGTTCCTTCTGGAGTTCCAACGGTTCCTAATGGAGTTCCAACTGTTCCTCCTGGAGTACCTACTTCAATTCCTAACCAAGGAGGTTTGCATGTACTTGATTATAATCATTTGTTGTTTTTACGTCCATCTGATGTTAGTGGCATTCAAATCATATCGTTTCAACTAACTGGGATTGAAATTATTCCTTATGGTTTAGATCTATGAGAATGGCGTTGTTAGGAAGGAATAAGTTAGGATTAGTTGATGGGTCCTGTACCAAAGAAAGTTACCTAGAAAATTTGTGGAATCATTGGGAACGAGTGAATGCCATAGTACTTTCTTGGTTGATGAATTCTGTTAGCAGTGGGTTGCTGGGAGGTATAATGTATGCCTCAAGTGCACATGCTGTATGGAATGATTTGCATGAGAGATTTGATAAAGTTGATGGCTCAATATCGTATAATTTGCATAAAGAAATTGCAATGCTGAGTCAAGGAACAACATCTGCCTCTGCATACTTCTCAAGACTAAAAGATCTGTGGGAAGAGTTTGAGGCACTGGTCCCTGCACCTAGGTGTGACTGCCCAAAATCAAGAGAACTTGTGGTTCATTTGCAAAAATTAAAACTGTTTCAGTTCTTGATGGGATTAAATGATTCCAATGGTCAAGCTAGGAGTCAAATTCTGCTGATGAGTCCAATGCCATCAGTTAATCAAGCATATGTCATGGTGATTAGTGATGAGAGTCAAAAATCAGTTGCTAATAATACTGGCTTACTGAGAGCAAATCCTACATCTGGAACTAATCAATATGATGTAGCCATGTTAACCAAGATTGGTGGAAATAATCAGAGACTGACTAGGAAAAATTTCAATCTATTCTGTGAAGTATGCAAAATAAGAGGACATTCTAAAGAAAATTACTACAAAGTTGTAGGCTATCCTCCCGAATATAGAGAAAGGAAAATGAACACAAATACACACAGTGCTTACATCATGTTATCTGATATTGGTATATAGGGTAATCAGGTGTCTAGCAACAATTGGAATGAGAACAGTTCTCAGAATTCTCAACTAACAAGCAATGCAATGAGTGTGAACAATCCTTAGAACATTGGACAAGTAAACAATACTCCTTGGATGGCAAATTGCACTTTCATTAAAGAGCAGTATGATCACATTGTGCAATTACTCAACAAAGATAATTCAACTTCTGCTTCTACTACAACAACACCAGCAGCTAATGCAACAAGTATTCCTTGTGCTCTATTAGCCTCTAATACTCTTCAAGAATGGTTTATAGACATAGGGGCTATAAATCATATGATAGCTGATTTAGAATTGTTAAATAGGGCATCCTTAATACAAACAAATCAGCAAAAGAAAGTACACTTGCCTAATGGAGAAACTACTCAAGTTACTCATATTGGAACTAGTGAATTAATAGAACATGACACTATAACTAATGTGTTCTACATACCTCAATTTAAGTATAATCTTTTATATCTGTCTCTAAAATAACAAAATAACTGAAATGTTCAGTTGCTTTCATTCCTGTTTTTTGCATATTTCAGGAACTCTTCAGTGGGAGGGTGAAAGCGATTGGTAGAGAAGATAGTGCTTTATACATTCTCAGTAGACAAAAATTACCAGGAAATAAAGCAATTAGTTTAAACACTAAGGAGACAGAAATCAATAAAGAAGTTAGTTCAAATGACATTGATTTTTGGCATAGGAGACTTGGACATGTATCTGCTACTGTTCTCAAGAAGCTAATATCTGTAAATGCACAAGATATATCTGCTAGATTAGATCTATGTACTACTTGTCCTTGTGCAAAGCAAACTAGAAATCCTTTTCCTATCAGTAGCATAAGAACTACTATTTTTGAGTTAGTTCATATGGATTTGTAGAGTCCTTACAGAATCCCTACTGTTGATGGTAATAGATTCTTTCTAACTGTAGTAGATGATTTTTCTAGGATGACATGGATTTTCTTGTTGAAATTGAAATCTGATGTGTGTGTGGTTGTAAGAAAATACAGTTTGGAGAAATTGTTAAAACAGTTAGGACTGATAATGGTACAGAGTTTGTTAATTCAGTTTGTGAAAAATTCTTTAAGAATCTAGGAGTAATTCATCAAAAGACATGTCCTTATACTCCTCAGCAAAATGGAGTAGCTGAGAGAAGCATCTACATATCTTAGAACTCACTAGAGCTATAAGGTTTTAAACAAATATACCAATCAAACTATGGGGATACTGTGTGCTTGATGTTGTATATATTGTTAACAGATTGCCTAGTTCTGTAATTGATAATAAAAGTTCTTATGAAAGACTATATAACAGAAAACCTACACTACAACATCTTAAGGTTATAAGTTGTTTATGCTATGCAAAATTGGTTAATCAGAATGATAAACTAATGCATAGAGCAAAACCTTCTGTTCACATGGGATATGCTACGGATCAAAAAGGATATGTGTTATATGATCTAGTAGATAAAACATTCTTTGTAAACAGAGATGTTCAGTTTAGAGAAGACATAATTCCTTTTAAAAACAAATAGGAAAATAACAAATCTGTGTTTATTCAACCAAACATAACAGACATACTCTTACACATAACAGATCCAGTACCATAAACTACAACTCTAGAAGGTCACATGTATTCAAATCAATAAGAAGATTTAATTACACCTAGTACTACACAAGAGTTCACACAATATTTTGAACGTAACTCCACAGAAGTTGTACAAACTAACAATCAATAAACCTCAGTCCTATAACAAACAGATCAAATTCCACAATCAATTACTAATCAATTAAACATAAGGAAGTCAAGCAGAGGAAATAAACCACCTATATGGATGAAAGATTTTGAGTCATTAACTGCACAACAAAATGAACCATATGCAATATCAAAATACTTAACCTATGAACACTTAAGTCCTACATATCAAGCCTACTTAACAGAAACCTCAAATACCACTGAACTAACTCTATACTCTGAAGCTATAAAGGATCCTAGGTGGATAGATGCTATGTAGACTGAGATTGAAGCTTTACAAAATAATCACACATGGGACATAGTAATTCTGCCTACTGGTAAGACTCCTATAGGTTGTAAGTGGATATACAAAATCAAATATAAGGCATCTGGTAAAATAGAAAGATTTAAGGCTAGGCTAGTAGCTAAGGGATTCAGTCAAAAGGAGGGGATAGAGTATCAAGAAACCTTCTCCCCAGTTATCAAACTGAAAACTGTCAGAACTATATTAGCTATAGCTGCTACAAAACACTGGTATATACATCAAATGGATGTATATACTGCATTCTTACCGGGAGATTTATTAGATGAGATATATATGGATCTGCCCTAAGGATTCACAAGTCAGGGGGAGAATAAAGTATACAGACTTGTCAAATCCTTATATGGATTGAAACAAGCTCCTAGGCAATGGAATGCTAAACTAACAGAAGCTCTTTTAAAGTCTCAATTTCAGCAAAGTCAGTATGATCGGTCCTTGTTCATTAAGAAAACTGCAGAAGGTATCACAATGGTACTAATATATGTAGATGACATGCTTATAACTGGTGATTCCCTGAAATTAATAGAGGAAACCAAATCACATCTACAACAGTCCTTTAAGATGAAAGACCTAGGGGAATTAAAGTATTTCCTAGGTATAGAATTTGCTAGATCAAAACAAGGCATTCTCATGCACCAGAGAAAATATACACTAGAATTGATTTCTGAGACAGATATTGCAGCTGCTAAACTAGCAATAACACCTCTTGATGTATATATGAAGCTTACAACTACAGAATATGATGAACATATCAAGAAAACTAAGTCTACTACCTTGATGAATGAAGAATTGGCAGATATAAATTCCTATCAAAGACTGATAGGCAAACTCTTATATCTAACAATGACTAGACCAGATATCTCATTTAGTGTACAAACACTAAGTCAGTTCCTACAAAGACCAAAGAAGTCTCACATGGAAGCGACTCTAAGGATTGTCAAATATATCAAAAATAGCCTAGGGCAAGGAATTCTACTCTACAACAAAGACAACAACACTCTTTCAGCTTATTGTGATGCAGACTGGGCTGCCTGTCCTTTTTCTAGAAAGTTCGTTTCAGGTTATTTTGGAAGTCCAAAAAGCAAAATATTGTTTCCAGAAGCTCAACAGAAGCTGAGTATAGAAGTCTTGCAACAACTGTGGCAGAACTTATTTGGTTAATTGGCTTACTAAAAGAAGTGAGAGTTGATATCAAGTTACCAAATGAAGTATTTAGTGATAGTAAAGTAGCAATTCAAATTGTAGCAAATCCATTGTATCACGAAAGAACAAAACACATAGAAATTTATTGCCACTTCTTCAGGGAAAAAATTATACAAGGCCTTGTCACGCCATCTTTTTTCCCTTTTTGATGGGGAAGTCCGCATTTCGACATTCATGGGGGAACAACTCATTTCCTCTTGGGAATTGGGTATTTGAAGAGTCTCCACCTAACGAATTACGGTGCGTTAGGGCACCTAGAGCGATTAACTCATGAACTAGTTCGCATCACCAAAGATTAGGGTAAGGGCTAGAAATAACCTTGAGTGAAAGGTGTTAGGCACCCCTAGCGGTCCACAACAGTGGGTTCCAGCCGAACTTAAACTATGTGAATTAGTCATTTTACAAGTAAATAATTTCAACACATATTCACAAATAAATGCATGTTTTTGCATTCTAAGTACANCCTAGGTTGGTTAGCCTACATGATCACACCCATGCAATGCCCGGTAATCACTCCTCAATGAGGGGCTACATGTGACATTAGCACGCAGTCATCATATCCTTACTACCCAATTCCCTCCCCTTGGTCATAGCCTAAAGCATTCTAGAAACCTTAAAAGATATCCTATGCGTGCACCACCCGTCCCTTCCTTGTGGCCCGGAGGTATTTAGGACCTCTAGTTTGGGTAATTCTAGACCATCCTAAGATACTTAAAGGAGAAAAATCTAGGAGACAATCAAAACAATTAGGACTGGACTAAAAGAGAACAATTAAAGGCTCAAATATTACCTCCACAAACAGAGCAAGCAAGTGCACGTCTTAAACACAGTTTCAGGTATTTAAGAGAAGCCCTAGAACAGGATATCTAGGTGAGCAGAGAATATTTAGTATTGAATTTGGACCAAAGTGTCAAAAACCTATTCAGTTTGCCTACTGATTTTAGACCTGTTGAATATGAGCAGTCACAGATAACAGAACGTAGTTTTACAGTTTGCGGAATTTTAGTCGCCCTATAGGCTTGCCTAGGCGTGTGATAGTGATGTCTTATGAGCATGATATCTAATTGTTGATCAGGACAATAAATAATTTTAAACGGGAAATTTGGATCCTATAGGCATGCTTTCTAGTGATGTTAACTAACACAACGTTGAAGAAACGAGTGGGTTGGTTAATCTGATTCAAAACTTACAGGCGTGACTTAAAGTTAAACTGATTTTAGGTCTAATTAATTTTTAGATCCTATAGGCATGATTTCTACAATTAGAGCTGATTTCAGATCCTATAGGCATGACTTCTAATTATGTAAAGTAAAGCAAGCCGAATTTATTTGAACCAAAGCAAAATCCTATAGGCATGTTGTCTAATAAAACACAATTGAACCCTATAGGCATATTATCTAACAAAACATATTTTGGACCCTATAGGCATGTTATCTACCCAACTTTACCCATCGTATACAACTACCCTCCCTTTTTACTACTCACCCAAATATTTGTTTATAATTAACTATTACAGACTGATGATTGAATAAAAATTACATAAATAGAACAAAAATTAAGCTATAGGGAGCCTGAAGTAGGCCCAAAGTGATTTCCACAAATACCCAAAATTTCATAGCCGATTTCATGTCTAGGTGTGTCAGAGTTCCCTAAGGACCTCAAGGATCTCGGGCAGTGCTCACACCCAGACCTTTCTCAAATAAGGACTGATTTATGTGCAGTGTGGGAGTGCCAGCCCTGATATGCCAGAGTTCAGAGCGGTCTCAAGGGTCTCTAAGCAGTATACATACTAGAGGGGCAGGACTTAGTAATCTAAGAGTAAGTGAGAGTGCATAATGGTTTGAAAGAGTTTGATAAACAATATAAAGAAAGGTCTTAGGAGTGAAAAGAATTTCTGAAAAATAGTACTGATTTAGTGATAAAATAGTTTGAGAAAAGTATGAAAAATAATTTGCAATTAGAACACAAGTCATAAAACAAACAGCTTTAGAAAATACTTTGGCAAACAGCTTCCACACAAGGAAAGAGGGGTCGGGAATACAAAGAATACACCATAATAGAGCACATAAACAATAGGGCACGTAGAGTTTTTAAGGGGTTCTATAGAACTAAATAGGTTAAATGTAATGCAGGTCATTGAAACATGAAGCAAAGGTCACATCAGAAACATATTGGAAACATATAAACAACACAACTATAGTTACCCTATGGAGACTAGATAACTTAGCAAGAGTAAGGCAGAATATGCAAGGACTTAAATGGACATGCTAGGCAAGTATTAACAAGCGTAGGAATGCTAATTACACAAAAGCAAAGTTTAGGCATGCTAGATAAACAATAGTCAGTCAAACATGCTAGTTACATATGTAAGACATGTTAAACAAGATATCAAATAAGCAAGTAAAGTGAAAACATACTAATGACATATTTGAATAAGGCAGTATTTGGCACGCTATGTAAGCAGTAAACAGAAGCAAGAATGGACTCAGGTCAGATGAACTAAGGCAATAAATAAACACATAGGTTTAGATTCTTAAAATTAATCAAAAGCATACCTAGTTCCTGAACGATAGGCATATGTTTTGTTGGGGTTAATCAACTGCGAAGAATTCTCCATAACAACAGTAGGACTGGGAATGACATAACCGACAACCTTCAGTCTCTCGTATAGTTGGTCTATGGGTTCAACAAAGGGGGTGTATTGTCTAGGTGGTCTGCGGTCGAAGTTTGGTCGTGGTTTTTAATAGTTTTGGTGGGCGGGTGGTGGTGAGTGATAATATGCGGGTTGAGTGTTATAGACGTGGTAGGTGGTAACAAGTTGTTGGTATCTGGGGGGTGAAGGCTGGTATGTGGGTGGAGGTGTTTGGTATGTAGGTGGAGGTGTTTGGTATGTGAGAGGAGACTTAGGATCCTGGGCCACCATTACGGAACCCACTTCTTTCTTATTTGAAATACCTCCCGATTGCAATGATTTATTTGTGGCCTAGAGTGCCTCAAAATTTGTCACCATCCCACTCTTAATCCCTTCTTCTATTATTTCTCCAAGCTTGATGATGTCGGAGAATTTGTGGTTTTCAATAACCATAAGCCTTTCATAGTACTGCAGGTCTTGAGCTTTGATGAAGAACTTATTCATTTGTTCTTCTTCAAGTGTTGGCTATACTTTCGAGGCTTCAAATCTCCACCGAGTAGCATATTTGCAGAAGGTTTCTATTGGTTTCTTCTTGAGGGTTTGAATGTAGAGAACGTCTGGTGCATTTTCTGTGCTGAACCTAAATCTCTCCATGAAATGTGATGCTTACCCAATTAACCCACTTCTTTGGGTTCTGGCTGATATACCAAGACAATGCATCTCCTGTGAGGCTTCACATGAACATTTTCATGTGGATTCGTTCATCTTTGCCCACTCGTACGAGTTTGTTACAATATGTCCTCAGATGCACTTTCAGATCACCAGTTCCATCGAACTTTTCGATCTTGGGAGGCTTGTAACCCTCCGACAGTTCCACATCTGGTTGAATGCATAAGTCCTCATAATTTAAACCTTCAATGCCTTTACCACTTTCGACACTCTAAACTCTACTAGTGAGCTTCTTGAGTTCCTCCACCATGTTCTTAATGAGCAGGTCTTTCTCGGTCTATTCAGGTATGTATAGGGTTTACTACGGAGTGTGGTGTAAGGTTTCCAAGTATATTGTATTGCTTTGATGAACTCTGGGAATTTGGGCATAAGAGTGGTCATTAGTTGAATTTTGGGGATTAGGCGTAAGTTGTGGTGCATTCTAAGGAGTGTGATAAGTGGTAGTTTGTGTGTATTGAGTTGGATGATGGTGTTGTTGTTGAGGAGTAGGTATTGGTGGAGGGTTAAGGTTCCGAGGAGGTGTGGGATACTGGTGTGGTGCTGGAGGATTTGACGATGAATTTTGGTTTGATGTGTTTTGGGGTGGTGCTTAGTTTTGGGTATTTGAATTTTGCTAGTTAATATCAAGGACATTGAGGGTGAGAGAAAGGTTCACTAAGTTTCGAACCTGCTTAAGTTCTCCTTGTAGCTCCAGGATTTTCTGTTCGAGATGTAAGACCAGTTCATTCTGTGCCGGAGTACTTCGGCCATCTAAAGTTTCGACGTTTTCTGCTATAGTAACGTTGTCCTTCCTGATACCACTCAAATCATCCATTTTTCCTTTCCCTTTGCTTTTGCCGTTAGGATCACTTGGTGAAGGAGGAGGTGGAGGACCTCTGGATCTAGTGTGATATGCTAATGATTTCAGTATGCATGAACCAATCTTGGGGAGTGGGAATAATCAAAAGAAATAAAAAAGCAAAAGGTAACCAAGTTAGTAAGGAGTATTGAAAGAATGCTTAAAATATTAAACATGTTTTGCAAAATCATGAAATAATTCGCGTCCTAATTTGGGGACCTCGTTGTGCCCGAGGTAGGCCTAAGAGACACATATACTTGACAAAAAATTGATCCCAATAATTGTGTCATTTAATTAATGTGAAAATGAGCCAAACCTTCACTAAATCGACAATAATAATAAAGTTACTAATGGCATTTAGCCTTATTACAATTGAAATCTAAATCTAAGCTAGAAAACAATAAAGAACATTATTTGTTAGTCTACTTAGTTTCGGAAGGACCTTCCCCGTGCTTGGCTCTTTTGACTCCATCAATCAAGTTCCCCAAATCGTGCATATCCAACAATAAGTAAGCCTTCACTAGATGCCCTCCTTCACTGCCATCCGTGTTTTGACAATCTGAAAGCCTCTTTCTCATCTTCCCCTCAAGTTCCATCAATCCTTGTTCCAGATATTCCAATCTCTCGGTGGACTTAGTGGCGATTTCCTTCTATTCATTAATTGCCTCCATCTCCACTTTATGTTGTTCCAGATGTTAGCTTCAGACTCGAATCCTTTTTGCATAGCCTCCTATACTTAACCTATGCCTCAACAGTATC